CAAAACTTTTGTATAAAGCATTTTTTATATAAAAAGCTTTTAAATTTAAATAAGTGTGCTTTCCTTAACTTGCTACAGCATTTAAATAAACATTAGGTAATATGTGGATAATATGTAAATTAAAAGTATCAGAGTCTGTAATTTAGTTTATAGTCGACTCTACAGTTACATTAGTAAACAGACCAGTCTATAGTCTAGTCTATAGTGTAGTCTATAGTGCAGTCTATATACTAATTTAGTCTAATCTATAGGCTACTATGTAGTCTAGTGTATTCTCTAGTCTAAAGTCTAATCTACAGTCTAGTACATTATGTAGTCTATCATCTAGTCTATAGTCAAATCTATAGTCTATAAATCTATAAAATTTATCATTTTCGGTAAATTTTTAATTCTATTTAATGAGTTGCTTTACATTTTTTTTACCCACCATCGAAAAAAATGGGGGGTATATTGATTTTGTCATTCCGTGTGTAACACATCGAAATATTGTTCACAGACCCCATAAAGTATATTCTGGGACCTCGTAAGGTTCTAAGACGATCTAGCTATGTCCGTCCGTCTGTCTGTTGTTGGCATGATAGCTTGCACAAAAAAGAGATATTGAAAATATTTTTTATTCATCAGAAATGTTTGGTATTGAAAATAGGTAAAATCGGTCAACGATTTCACATTGCCCCCATACAAACGTATATTGTGTATAGAGCTTCAAACATTCACAAGTTCGTTGTTTGTGAAGCAAATGCAACAAAATTTCGCACAAGTCAGTTTTGTGACTTCCGAAATAAAACTCTGAATTATGGCGGACATAGGACCATTTTGAAAATTACTATAATGCTGATTACTGGCTTAAACATATACATTTAGCGATGAAATTCGACATACATAAGTCTCATGCAAGCCAATATCTCTCCACAAAATTTTATGTGGATCGCTCCATAATTGACCCTACCACCCATATAAGGTCCCCTTCAGAAAATGACTTTAACGCTCATTATTGAAGTAAAAATACAAGTATAGCGATGAAATTTGACATAAGTATGTCTTATACGAGCCAAAACCTTTCCTACCCCCCATATAAGGTCCCTCCACAAAAATTACTTTAACGCTCATTACTGGCTTAAAAATAGGAATATAGCGATGAAATTTCACAGAAGTAAGTTCTATATGAGCCAAAATCTCTCTACCAAACTTTATGTGGATCGGTCCATAATTGACCCTACCCCCCCATATAAGGCCCTCTTCAAAAAATTTCTTTTACGCTCATTATTGGCGTAAAAATACGAGTATAGCAATGAAATTTGACATAAGTATGTCTTATACTAGCTAAAACCTTTCCAGCAAATTTTATGTGAATCAGTCCATAATTGACCCTACCCCCCATATAAGGCCCCCTTCAGAACACGACTTTAACGCTCATTATTTGCGTAAAAATACGAGTATAGCGATGAAATTTTACGAAGTAAGTTTTAAACGAGCCAGCACCTTTCCATCAAATATTTTGTGGACCGGTCCATAATTGACCCTACCCCCCATATAAGGTCCCCTCCATAAAATTACTTTAACTCTCATTACTGGCTTAAAAATACGAGCGATAAGATTTCACAGAAGTAAAGTTTATACGAGCCAAAATCCCTCTACCAAATTTTATGTGGATCGGTGAAATTTGACATAAGTATGTCTGATATAAGCTAAAACCTTTCCAGCAAATTTTATGTGGATCGGTCCATAATTGTCAATAGTTAAACCCCCATTAATGGACCTCTTTCAAATATATCCCTGATGTTCTCATTATCGACATATAATAATAAAATATTCAAAATATAAGTTTATTTATATAGCAGTGATTTGATGGTGGGTATAAAGATTCGGCATAGCCGAATATAACACTCTTACTTGTTAAAATTTAATTTTTAATTTTTTCAAATTGTATATGGCAACATTTATATAAAGCTCAGTATTTATTTTACCCAATTTTCTTCCCATAAAAGTACATATTTACTGTTTCCGGATACTCCATATTTGGGTACTTAAATAAATAATTTGAAAAAATTCAATTTCCAAGTTGTTAACTTAAAGATTATTGTTATTGGTCTGTTGTTTGGTTCGATTGGTTGGTTTTGCTTGATTGTATGGATGGGTAGTTAGTTGTTAGCTATAGTATGGACGGTGTTTCAACTATTTACATGTTGTTGTGCTCATATGTGGATAACTTGATTGTTAGGTTTGTTAGTTAGTTTTTTTGTGTACATGTGTTTTTTACTATTGCCCTCATCTTCACTAAAACGACAAAAAGAATTAGAAAAAAGAAAACTTCATGATTGGAAAATGTTGCATTCACATTTTTCCGAGGGTTTTTTGGGTTGCTAAAAAATTGAATATGGAGTTTCTTTAACTACAGTAGGGTTGAACGAGAGAGAGGAAACAGAAGGAAGAGGGAAAAGAAAGGGCGGAAAAGGGAGCAGGAAGGGAGAAAAGAAAGGGGGGACGAACGAAACGAAGAACGAACGAACGAACGAACTAACGAACGAACGCACGAACGAACGAAACGAACGAACGAACGAAAGAACGAACGAACGAACGAAACGAAACGAACGAACGAACGAAACGAACGAACGAACGAACGAACGAACGAACGAACGAACGAACGAACGAACGAACGAACGAACGAACGAACGAAGAACGAACGAACGAAACGAACGAACGAAAACGAACGAACGAAAACGAACGAACGAACGAACGAACGAACGAACGAACGAACGAACGAACGAACGAACGAAAAACGAACGAACGAACGAACGAACGAACGAACGAACGAACGAACGAACGAACGAAGAAGAACGAAGAACGAACAACGAACGAACGAACGAAGAACGAAACGAACGAACGCACGAACGAACGAACGAAGAACGAACGAACTAACGAACGAACGAACGAACGAACGACTAACGACGAACGAACGAACGAACGAACGAACGAACGAACGAACGAACCGAACGAACGAACGAACGAACGAACGAACGATAACGAACGAACGAACGAACGAAACGAACTAACGAACGAACGAACGAACGAACGAACGAACCGAACGAACGAACGAACGGATACGAACGAACGATAACGAAACGAACAGGAACGAACGGAACGAACTAACGAACGAACGTAACGAACGAACGAAACGAACGAACTAACGAAGAACCGAAACGAACGAACGAACGAAACGAACGAACGAACGAACGACCGAATACTACACGAACTAAACGAACGAACGTAACGAACGAACGAAACGAACGAACGAAAGAACGAAACGAACAACGAAACTAAGAACGAACTAACGAACGAACTAACGAACGAACGAAACGTAACGACAACGAACGAAGAACGACGAACGAACGAACGAACGAAACGAACGAACGAACGAACGAACGAAAACGAACGAACGAACGAACGAAACGAAACGAACGAAGAACGAACGAACGAACGAACGAACGAACGAACGAAACGAACGAACGAACGAACGAACGAACGAACGAACGAACGAACGAACGAAACGAACGAACGAACGACCGAACGAACGAACGAAACGAAGAACGAACGAACGAACGAACGAACTAACGAACGAAGAACGAACGAACGAACGAACGAACGAAGAACGAAACGAACGAACAACGAACGAACGAACGAACAACGAACGAACGAACGAACGAACGAACGAACGAAACGAACGAACGAACGAACGAACGAACGAACGAACGAAACGAACGAACGAACGAACGAACGAACGAACTAACGAACGAACGAACTAACGAACGAACGAACGAAACGAACGAACGAACGAACGAACGAACGAACGAACGAACAGAACGAACGAACGAACGAACGAAACTAACGAACGAACGAACGAACGAACGAACGAACAACTAACGAACGAACGAACGAACGAACGAACAACGAAGAACGAACTAACGAACGAACGAACTAACTAACGAACTAACGAACTAACGAACGAAACGAACTAACTAACGAACGAACAACACGAACTAACTAAAACTACTAACAAACGAACTAACTAACTAACGAACACTAACTAACTAAACTAACTAACTAACTAACTAACTAACTAACTAACTAACTAACTAACTAACTAACTAACACTAACTAACACTAACTAACTAACGAACTAACTAACTAACTAACTAACTAACTAACTAACACTCTTATTTGTCATTTGACACCGAATTTTGCATAGTAGAGTAAGCAGAAGTATTTATATATTTTTTTAAATGTGCTCCTTTGAAATTTTAAGTCCTTTTACAATGAAACAGGATCACTAAATAAAAAAATTGTGAACGCAGTTCTCTGTGTGTATAACATTTTTAGGAATAGAAAAATATGTGTATAAAATTTTTCGATTCCCTTGAGAACTATAAGGATATACGAAAAAATCAATTTTTATTTACTCATTCAATCAATGTAAAAAGAATAAATCCTTGTCTTTAAAAATTTTGAAAATTTTCTTTAAAAATATTACTCAAAGAATATTAAATTTACATATTTACAATCTCTTTCTTAGGCATTTTCCAGAGGCGTATAGAACAAACTATTCCTAAACATTTGTTTTATAAACCTTTGATATATTGTTATGAATAAAGCCCCTACAAGTTTAACTTCCATATTCATAAAAATTTATCAATGGTTTATAGAACAAATTTTGTATGAAAATTTGATTTATAAACCTTTGACAAAAGTTTATGAATAAGACCCTAAGAAAATACCGCAAAGTTTAACCTTTCATTTGATTTTCTTAACCGGAAGTCTGTTTGTTGATTTTCCCTTTTCATCTTTTTTATTATTTTTTTGTAAGCGTGTTATAAAGGTTGACTTTTTAATACATTTTTTTAGATTTAGATTTTATATGTGCCTCCTTTATTCCTTTCAATAGCCTTCAATAAAACTTTTCTTTTCATTCTTTTTTCTTTTGTTTTTTTTTTTTTTAATTTTAGGGCACAACATGGCCTCAGCACAGCTTCTTTATAATATCGATACAAAACCAAAAACAACAACTATTACTTTTACAAGAAAAACAAAATCAAATACTACAAAAACAACAACATCAGCAAAAGCAACAACAAAAACGAAAACAACGATTCAATCAACTATTGAACATCATTATAAAGAAAAACTATCAATATATTGTAACAAAACGGAAGTTAAGCGAAAACAAGAAGAAGAGGAAGATATCAGCGGAAATATTAGCAGCAGCAGGAAACAATACACAGACAGAAATTCCAACAAGTACACAACAAAACCTACAAACGTATTTCACAGCTCATGTCGAACTAAAACAAAAGAAGAGAGAGAAATTTTTATTAAAGAAAAAACTACATTCACGTACGACGCTAAAACGGAAAATTCTCCTAACGACGACGACATTGATACAAAAATTGTGTTCATCTCTCAGCAGCAACAACAACAAGAAGAACAGAAGCAAATATGGCCGGAAGCGAAAAAATGCTTTTGCTTCAAGTGCATGCAGGCAACAGAAGCTGCAGCAACAACAAAAACAACAGAACGATCTACAAACAGTTTGCCTACAGATGATGTTGTTGTGGGCCCTGCTGGTGGTGGTGTTCAACGGCAAGCAACAACTACAGTACTCAACAACATTGACAGCAATAAACTGTACGAGACAAATAGTAAAAGAAAATGTTGTCAATTTGTTTCCACAAACATCTACAGAAAAAACAACAGCAACAGGACAATACAACAACAACCAAAAAATTATCATAATTTTAATGATGATGATGATGTTTCTACACACGATTGTAAAGGAATTGAGGAGTTTAATATCCACACAAACAACAAAATCTACAACTACAACATCAACAACACAAAAATGCCTAACAACAACTACAACAATTTCATCCTTAAAAAATTTCTCTCAGCCTCAGGCCTTTCAGAAAATAACAATTTTCTGTCAAAAACTTCAAATGAAACTACAAAATGCTGCCAAAGAAATGTTGCTAAACAATGTTGCCACAACTATAATAAAAAACATAAAACTAAAACATCAACAATATCTTTTGTTAGCAACCAACAAAATCAAATACATCAACAACAAAAACAACAACAACAACGAAATTTCTGTTATAAAACCAAATTTTCTAAAACTACAACACATCAACTACAACAGCAGCAACAACAAAATTTTACAACATTTTCTTCTACTACGACTATTACAAAATTCTATCGAGATTTGCAAAAAATGTCCAAATATTTTTTATCACTTTTGGTCATTTTCAATATGCTGCCATTATTTTATGCAGGTAAGTCTCTTTTCTCTTGATTGATTTTCTTTTTAAATTGATTAAATATAAATCTTAAAGAAAATTTATCTATTTATAAGTATAATAAATTTTCAGTCAATTTATTTTCTTATAAACAAATAAGTTGAGAAGCCATCAAATACAACCAATAGTACAACACAAATTTCTATTTAACCAGTATAAATTTATTTGGTTTAGCTTGAAAATGTTTAACAAATTTGTAATTATTTTGAATTTAAAAATATGAATTCTTAAGAAATCTTAACGGCTTCATTGTTTACTAGGGTAATTAATAATTCGGGTTTTTGGATTATTCGGTTTATTCGACAAATAATTATTTGAGGTTTTATGTTAGCCGGTTTGAGGTTTTATGTTAGCCGCTTAATAATCGGATAATTCAAAATTATTCGGTTAATCGAATAAAAGTTAAATGGATGTTTTTTTATTAATTTTATTGTTTTTACAATATTTTTTTCTTATAATCCAGAAAATGATAATTTTCAATTATTTTGAGTTCAATTCTATGTAATTTTTTTAATTATTATTTTTCAAATATTAGAAATTATTTATTCTCCTTAAAATCCCCTGGATATTACCTTTCTGAAGGGGGCTTTGTATGGGGGCTAGGGTCAAATGAAGTCGAAATTTCGAAATTCGGCAAGGTAATTAATCAAGGCTTGTATAAAACTTAGTTGTGCGAACTTTCATCGAGATACATCTATATTATGCATAATTATAAGCTCAAAAGCCATTTTCGTATGGTTCAGTTGTATGAGGGCTAGGTTAATTAATGTACCAATTTTAACCATTTTCAATAGCCTTCATCATTGGCTCAAAACAAACGTAAATTCGTTAAATCGTTAAATCGACTCAGAAAGTGATTCTAATAGTTTAATGCGTTACAAATATCGGCACAAACGCATAATACCCTTCCCATTATAGTGGTGTAGGGTATAAAAAATTTGGTAATTTACATAGTTAAGAATTTAACTCAAAAGTAGGTAAATCAGAATCATAAAATAAATTTTCTTCATTATTGAAAAATAATTAAATTAAAGGAAGAAAATTTATTATAAAGATATTGAATTTTGTATGAAATATATATCAGTTCTACTGTTAAAAAGTAAGTTTTTATTAATCGGTTATTTGATAGAAATTATTCGGTTTATTCGTTATTCGCAATTTGTCATTTTTAATTTATTCGAACGATTAATCGACAAAAATTCATCGATTAACCGATCGACGATTAATCGTTTGAATACCCTATTGTATACCCAAGAAAGTAAGAAACTATACGAATTAATGTACCGATATTAATAACATTTTGTAGACCGATTTTGGTTCATATAAAACTTGTTTATATAGAATATCATCTTTGTATGCCAGTATTTAGCGTTAAAGTAATTTTATAATGGGAACCGTATATGGGCGGTAGGGTCAATTATAGACCGAAGGGGAACTTATATGGCTGGGTAAGGTCATTTATGAGCCGTTCTTGTGTCGAATTTCATCGCTATACTCTTACATTTAAAACAATAATGAGCGTTAAAGTCATTTTCTGAAAGGGGTCTTATATGGGGGTGGGTCAATTATGGACCGATCCTCATTAAGTATGGTAGAGAGATTTTAAATCATATGACACTTATTTATGTCAAATTTCAACGCTATACTTTTACTTTTAAAACAGTTATGGCGGTTAAAGCTATTTTTCGGGGGGCCAATTGTATGGTGGCTTCATCAAATTTTGCACGAAGGACTTTAATATTTATCTGAAATTTTTTTAGAAAACAGGGCGGACTTTCATCTACGGGGGCTTGGAGTCCCCATATAATATAATTTTTAGAGAATAAAGGGCGGACTTCCATTAAAAATTAAAATTAAAAATGTATCCAGACAAAAAATAACGTCCGCCCGTCATCATAACGAACACTATAGAGCCTATCTAAGAGAATTACTCTTGATAGTTCTTAACTTGTAAATGTGGTATTTTTTGGATTTACCTTCAAACATTTGTACAATATAAATTTATTCAAAGTATTGATCATTCTTAGCTATGACCATTTCCTATCATTCCGGCAACATTTGGATTCAGCACCAATATAAGTGCTCACCTTTTGAGGGCTAAAACGAAACAATCCAGTTTCGAATGCCCTTTTCTTAAGTGAAGTGTATACCAAAGAGAGCGTTACGTATTGATCGAAATTAATGGTATTCGGATGGGGCAAGGTCTGGACTACCAAGCGGGTGAGGTAAAATTTCCCAAACATTCATTTTTAACAGGTATTACAACATCTGGCCGACCATTGCAATGACGTACATATATTATGGCCGTTTAAAGGCCAATGTTCGCTTCCAACGCATCATTATTGCATTCGATAGAAATTGTCTTTAATGATCTGGTCCGGTTTCTATAGCTCGTAATAGATAAAATCATTTCGGTACCAACAAATACTGAGCAACAAGGTTATTTTGCTTTGGTATTCATAAGCTTCGGGTTATAGTAATGGATCAACTTTTCATCCCTGTAAAGATTTGATAAAAAATTATTATGGAGTTATATGTTGATTTCAGTAGCTTCCGCGAATGATGCTTTGTTGGCTTATTTTCGAAACAAAAGAGAAACTTTGTTGTTAACAAATAATTGACAGATATGTATGTTTCCTTCAAAATGTCATACTTAAATAAAAAAACAAGTAAGAAATTATAGTCGGGCGAGGCCGACCATATGATACCCTACACCAATTGCGAATATTAAATGTGATTAATTTCAATAATGAAGCATTTCTGTTAATCTTATATAGGTTCCAAATAATGCCTGTTCATGTTCGGTTGTATGCTGACTAGGAGAAATAAAAGACCGATTTCAATCATTTTCAACAGCCATCGTCAGTGGATCCAGAGAATAGTATGTGAACCATTTTAACAAATCATATTCAAAATTGCTATCTGTTGCGTGCACACAAGGTTTACTCGGTCACAAAGACGTACATAGCTTAATAAGGACAAATATTTTTGAGTGTTACAAACATCATCACATTGTGACGACTTTTGGATAGATAGTAGTATATTAGACGTAGTTAAAAGATAAACGGCCGAAATCGGAAGGTCCGGATGTATGGGGGCTAGGGCAGAAATTGAGCCGATCCTTATAAAATGTATTATTGGGAATTATCTATATACATATATAAAAATGAATGTGTGTTTGTTTGTATGTTTATATGTTTGTATGTTTGTGTGTTTACATGTTTGTATGTTTGAACGTTATAGACTACTATACGGCTGAACCGATTTTCTTTAAATTTTCACTGCACATTCCTGTATGTCTGGCAATAGGCTACTTTTTATTTCCGATCATGGCGAAAAATGACAGTGTTATTTATAATTATATCAAACTTAGTTGTGCCAATTTTTAGGAAGATAGTAGCATATATATCGTCGTTAAGAGCTAAAAGGCCCAAATCGGTAGGTCCGGTTGTATGGGGGCTAGGGTAAAAATTGGTCCGATCCTTATAAAATTTAATGTCGACATTTATGTTTATATAAAATCTATTTGTGGCAAATTTCATCGTGATATTAGTGTTTAAGTGAATTGTGGACATTCAAGTCATTTTCTGAAGGGGATTTTGTATGGGGGATAGGGTCAAATATTACCCGATCATTATAAAAATCGACAGTGTTATTTATAATTATATCAAACTTAGTTGTGCCGATTTTTGGAGAGATAGTAGTATATTTGACAAAGTTATGAGCTAAAAGGCCCAAATCGGAAAGTCCGCTTATATGGGGGCTAGGGTAAAACTTGGTCCGATCCCTATAAAATTTATTGTTGGGAATTATATTTATTTAAAACTCATTTGTGCCAAATTTCATCGTGATACTAGTGTTTATAAGTGAATTGGGGACATTCAAGTCATTTTCTGAGGGGGACTTTGTATGGGGGCTAGGGTCAAATAATGCCCGATCTTTACGAAAATCACTAGCATTATTAAGATATATATAAAACTAAATTTTTCCATTTTTTGTAGAGATAGTAGATCATTTAACATAATTATGAGGTCAAAAGCCCTATTCGGGGGGTCCGGTTGTATGGGGGCTAGGTGAAATAATGGACCGATTTCAACCATTTTCAATAGCGTTCGTCCTTGGACCAAGAGAAGTGTATGTTCCAAATTTCATCAAATTATCTCAAAAATTGCGACCTGTAGAGTGCGCACAAGGTTTACATGGACACACAGACAGACAGACAGACAGACAGACAGACAGACAGACGGACGGACGGACGGACATAGCTCAATCGACTCAGGAAGCGATTCTGAGCCGATTGGTATACTTTAAGGTGGGTGTAGGACCAATATTTTTGGGTGTTACAAACATCAGCACAAACGCATAATACCCTCCCCACTATAGTGGTGTAGGGTATAAAAAACGGTTGTAACTATATTCTATTGGAACTCTATAAAATCTATCATCACCCAAAATACTCTAAACCTAATGGGTTCATACAATTTATCCCTTTTTAGAATAAAAAAATATAATGAAAAAATAATAGATTCTTATTTCGTTTTTCAGAATTTATCAAAAAATTTCAAAAATTCCAATTATGAATAGCATTGAAATTTTGTCTTCTTATACAATTTTAAATGCAAGTTGTAGAGATCGCAAGGACATCAAATGAATACATTATTTTAAACATCTATATATAATTTAAGAAAAACAACAAATTCTAGTTTTATTATTTCAAATAATGTTGTTGTTGTTGCATTTTTCGTTGTGGTTTTTGGGTGTATGTAATGAAATCGATTGATATACGTTTTAAATTTAGTTTTCATGAATTTCAATATTTTTATTGAAAGGAGTCTTGAGTTAAGTGAGTGTGTTTGTGTGGGTATGAATATTTATGTATTTGTAAGTAAGTGAAAATCATCATGACAATACATTTTATCATACATATACTGAACATTGTATATAATAATTTATTTTGTGGTATTCAATCAGTCACACAGATGTTATACATTCATACTTATATTTATTAGGG